TTTATTTCTTTTCTGTCCAAAGACAGAAGAAATTCTGCTTTTTAAAGGGCTCATGTGATTACATTAGGCCCACCCAGATATTCAGGATAATCTCCCTATTTTAAGGTCAATTGTGCCATATGATGTAACACAATCATGGGAGTGGTATCTCCTCATACCCACAGGTCCCAGGAATTAGGGTGGACATCTTTGGATGCAGGGGAGCATTTTAGAAATCCTTGCTCCCACAGTAGGCCTGCATGGCTAGTCAGTGTCTCAGTCTGGCTTCAAAGGTCAGGCAGTAGTCCCTACTCTCCTACCAGGTGGCAACAGGCAGCCAGCGATAATTATTGATTCTTGATCACATATATCCCTCTACGGGGAAGGACTGTCAGGAATATTTGAGAAGGAAACTGTATAAAAGGAATGACATTCCTGATAGTGAAGCAGCCATTATAATTTGATTATCCGCATGATTTCTGTCCTCTCACACAGGTTACACTCTTTATGCCCTTGTGTATTCAGCCGAAGACTAGAACATCAACCCGGATGTCACTTAGATCCTTAAAATCACCATGTTCTAAACTGCTCTCCACTCATCCTCTTCCCACAACTCCACTCCTCCCCCCAGTGTCTCTACTTGTGCAATCCCTGTTTTATCCACCCCCAAAGTCCTATCCCACTCCGTGGAGTCAAGGAGGGCAGCTGGCCAGAAGCCACACTGCTGAGCTAAGTATTTGGGACAGCGATTGAAAGGAGAGGCCCACTGTCTTCCAAGAGACTAGCTCCTCATGTTCCATGTCCCTGTCTACTTCACTGGTCTTCAGAATGGTCCCTCAACATTACATCTCATTCGCATCCTGCTTGTAAATCCCCCCATTCTGAGCCAGTCCCCCACACCTCCTCTCCCTCCACTCCCCCGACTATGCCCTCTGAAACTCCTGCTTTGTCATCAGTAGACTCGGCTCTTTTGTTAACACTTCCAAAAATTTCTTCCACCATCATGTAATTACGAAGCTAGGTTATCTATTCCCTGAAGTCCCCACTCACCGGGAAGCTGATATTTCTCCCACGTCCCACCTCAGGGCCAGGAAGAGAGATCCTTGTCTTCTGTGGTGCTCATGTTTATGGTTTCCGCTGGCCAGTTCTCCCTCTACCTCCTGCAAAGAGACCTCGTCTTGTGTAGCTTGTGTCACCCAGCTTCACCACCCTCTCTGCTCCCGACTTCCACTGGTCACTTTCCATCATCCAGAGAAGACTTCAGCTCACGGGTCATATTCCTTTCCATGAACTTTCAGCATCTTCAGTGTCCATATGGAGAATCCATTCAAGACTCTGTTCTTATATTCTCACCCCCTCACTGACAATGATCTTCTCTCTCATTTCCACCTTGAGAATCTACTCCCACAATTCGACAATTTTTAAACACTTTCAAATATTTACTTAGCAATCGTGACTTCCTATCATTCCAGCTTGCTTGCTATAGACTCCACTGCGATCATTTATTCTGTTTTTGTAGCCTCATGTTCATTGAGCCCACCAGGTTCTCACTTTTCATCAGCCCCCTCCTATCTCCCCTCAGGATTCAGCTTAGATTCATGGCCTTCATGGTGATTCTCATCACCAACTGCACACTAGAATCATCTAAAAACCAATGCCCAGGCCCCATCCTGGACCCAAGAAGTCAAGTTCTTTAAAAGGTCCATGGGTAATCCTAATGTGCAGCTAGATAGAATTGAGAGTCAACTCTCTCTCATTATGGTCCTCCAACGCAAACACTATTAATCCCCCTGCTTCTCTGCCCCCTCCTTCATACCCGTCCAGCAGTACTCCAGCCCAAACATCTGCCCAAGATTCTGCTTCTGGACAGAATTTTGCAGACTGGCTATTTTTACCTTAAGTGTGTGATCACAAGCCTCAAATTGGCCTTTAATTCAACTTGGCCATCCTACTTACTGCTTCCCCATAAGCCCCATTTCCCATTCTCTAAGATGGCTATCCACACCTTCTCCTCTTCTCCCCACTTCATTTTCATGAGATGACCTTGTCTCATAGAGACGTCATCAGATGGCCATTCCCTCGGTAAATCTACAAACTCCATCTACTCCATCGTCTCCTTCTTCCCTCCTGGTATCATCTAGAAGTGTCCTCACTCCTGGAAAGGCCCTCTATACTCTGGTCCTAGCCCCTACTGCCCTCTCAAGGACTTGGGTCCTGGCTTCATTCTATCTTTGCAGAATCTGCAGTTCCCGTCCCATCAACACAGAAACATGGCCTTCTGTCTCACAGCTTAGCCCCTTGCCTGACCACACATTTTCCTCTAGATTCTGCCCATTTTTCTGCACCTTTTCACAGAAAAACTTGTCAAAAGAACATCTATCTTAGCTGTCTCAATTATTTCACCTCCAATTTTTTTACTCAAAAACGAGAATTTGTTATAAGAATACAGGGATAACTCACGGGTGGAACTATAGCTCTCCAAGGTAGTGATACAGCTGGGCCCCGGAGCCAGCGGTTGGAAGGCCATCTGGAGTCCTCTCTCTGTCTTCTCCTCTTTTCACATGCGTCTTTCTCACAAATGCAGACTCACCTACCAAGGAGTGAATCTGGCAGAAGGTAGCTGGTCAAAGCATACAAGGCTGTTGACTGAATTGTGTGCTCCTAAATCCATATGTTCACGCCTTAAACCCCAATGTGACTGTATTTGGAAATAGGGTCTTTAAGGAGGTAACTAAGGTTAAATGATGTCATAAGGGTGTAGCCCTGATAGGATTAGTGTCCCTATAAGAAGAGACACCCCCCCCCCGCACCCCAAGTGCACACAAGAAGAGGTCGTGAAGGCACACAGTGAGTTGGTGTCTGTCTATAAGCCAGGAAGAGAGATCTCGCCAGAAACCAACCATGCGGGCACTCTGATCTGGGACTTCTAGCCTGCAAAACAGTAAGGAAGTGATCGTCTCTATTTAAGCCATACAGGCTATGGTACATTGTTTTGGCAGCCTGAGCTGCCTAATACAAGGTCAAATATTAAGAAGGATTGAATCTTCCTCACGTTTCTAAAGAAGGTTTTCTTATTGGCCCTACTGAGTTTAGTTCTATTCAACCCTGGCTAGGAAAGCAGGGTCATACAAGGAAAAACGGTTATTTGGGACCTACCCAAGGGTGATAATCAAATGTTTACCAATCGTTATGGCAATATGTATTAATAAAACTTTAAAAATATAAACTATATTTCTTCTTATTTAAAATTTTGCATTGTGACTTAAAACACACATACATAAAAATGCATAAAAAATAAATGCACAGTTTAATGAATAATTGTAAAACAAGCATCTGGGTCACCACCGTCTAAGTCTAGAAACAGAACACTGTTCTCATGCCGGAAACTTCTGTGTCCCTTCCCAAACGCACATGCCTCCCTCTCCCCTAAAGTTAATTTTCTTGCAAACTTTATAATAATCACTTCTTTACTTTCTGTAGTTTTACTTCTATGCATACATAGTGGGGAGAGGGCCACAAAAGAGCTTTCTAGAGTGCTGGAAATTTTCTATATCTGATCTGGGTGGTGATTACATGGTACACATGTAAAAATACATTGAGTCTTACTGGTACTATTATTATTATACTATTACATCCATATATACTACAAACTAAATTGTTATAATTATTACTTTATATAATTTTATATCTCTTAAAGAAGATAAGAGAAGAAAGGGGAGCAAGTATATTTTTATAGTGTGGTCTTCTCTTTTCTAGTCTTTTCTCCCTTAAATTCACCCTCTACTCTGCAATACGACTGATCCAACCAAAGTGCAAATTTTCTTATACCGTTCACCAACTTAAAATGCATTTCAAATTCCTTAATGTAGCAAACTCTCCCTTCCACATCCAGCCACTGTGTATCTCCCCAGCGTCATTTCCCATAACTTCCTGTCTTACACACTGTCCCTGCACCATTTGCTTGTCTCTTTGGCTTTGCTCACGCTCTTTCTTATGCCCAGTTGTCTGTCTGAGCTGGCTTGGGCTGCCACAACAAAATAGACCAGGTGGCTTAAATAACAAAAATCCATTTTCTCACAGTTCTGGAGGTTGTAAGTTTGAGATCAAGGAGCTAGAACAGTCAGGTTCTGATAAGGACTCTCTTCCTGGCCTACAGCCAGCTGCCTTCTCACTATTTCCTCACATGGCAGAGAGAGTAAGCTCTCCAGTGTCTCTTCTTATACGGGCACTAATCGTATCATGAAAGCCGCACCCTCCTGTCCTCATCTAAACCTAATGACTTCCCAAAGGCCCCACATCTAAATACCATCACACTGGGGTTAGGGCTTCAACATGCGAATTTTTTTAGTGTGCGGTGGTACTATTCCGTCCATAGCACCTCCTTTACTTGGCTAGTTCCTACCTCTTGTTTTAATTCCGCTCAGGCACCACTTCCTCAGGAAATCCTTACTAACCACCCCATATCTTCCCATCACTGCACTCTAAAGTGACAGCATGCTTTATTACGGTCTTCTGCTCACCTCTTTCATTGCACTTGTCTCTTTGTTTTGTAATTATCTGTTTCCCCAATAGACTATGAGTTCATTGACGGCAAGGATTTTGTTGCATTCAACTGTGTTACATTCCCAAACCTTGCACAGTGCCTGGCACATAGTAGGCAACCAATGATGCTTTTTGAAGGAATGTAAGAAAAGTATTACCCTCCTTGATCAAATAAAGTCTGGAACCTTCGAGGTTAACACTGGCCCTAAAAATGCGAGGGAACAAACGCAAGAACGGAGGGATCTCATAGCCTAATTAGAGTGCTTTGCCCTATTGCAGGGTCTGGGAGAGCGTCGAAGGGACTTTATCTAAGAACTATCACCCAGGAGGGTGGCGGGAAGGGCAGAGAGAGCTGCTCGGCGTCCAATCAGGACCCAACATTCCGGGAGCCAATAGCAGCTTTGAGAGCCGCCTACTGAGGCCGGACTACGCTTCCCGTGATGCCCCGCTGCCTCGTGCTAGGCAGCTGTCGTAAAGCGGCTCGCTCGGCACGACGATAGTCCCAGCTGCGCGCTTCTCCCGGCTCCGCCAGCGCTCCCGCCCCCACGACGTGGGAGATCCAGTTCCCGGCTGGCCGCGTTACCTCCCCGCCGGGGCGGTCTCCCCTTCAGGGGCTCCCGTCGCCAAGGTGGTCGCGGCTGCGGCTTCCTCGGGCCTGGCCGCGGGGGGAGGGGGCGGCCGGGAGGCAGTGGCTGGGTCAGCACGGGGCACCGAAAGCGGGGCCATGGAGCCCAGGGAGTCGGGGAAGGTAGGCCTGGAAGGGCCCTGGGGCCGCCCATCCCCTTCCCGTAGATCCCTGATCTGGGCTCCGGCGAGGCGGGCGGTACGGGCGGAGTCCCCGCAGATGAGCCAGCCTTGCAGGGAAGGACTCGCCCGCTCGCCCGCCGCCTCTTCCTCTGCGCTTGGGCAGCAGCCTCTGGGCGGGGGCGCAGGGAGGAGCGGACTCCTGGTTCCGAGTGCTGCGCAGCCTCCCGGCTCCGCTCCGTCTCCGGCTTGGCCAGCCGCCCTTCGCCAAGTGACAACTCGGTTGATGCAGGGCTGGGTGACCCCGCTCAGTGTAGTGATGCGAAAGTGCTCCCTGTTTTCCCACACCACCGTTGGCGTTTTTTGAAGAGGCCCAACTTGTTTTAAGCGTTTCAGGCTGAATAAGACCCCAGTGGGAGCCAAGGGGTAGCATCACCGAGAGGAAGGGTGAGGGCTTGGTCCTACCTACATCCCGCTTCTTAAGACAGGGTTAAGAAGAAAAGCAAAAGGCATCTGACATATTTCTTGCCGACTTCAGTTTCCAGCTTATCTGCTTCATGGAGTATCTGAGCATTGCTTAGAAGCGTGTTTCATAAACTTGCCTCAGGCTTTGAGCAGCAGGCTGTGAGTTGGAAGAAAAGGTGGGAAAAGCTACTTGAAGGTAGAGTTAAGTGGGTTTGACAGGATTGCTGGAGCACCAAGGCAGTGTCAGCAAAGACCAGCGTGCTTGTAGGCGCTTGACTTGGAGACTGATAGCCTGTTAGACCTAAGGTCTTGGTGTTCTTTGCCACCCGTTCTTGAGGACTTTTTCTTCTTGGGCACACAGGAAATTACCTCATCAGAGGTTTTGGAGTGCTGACTGAGTCCCTCCTTTAAAATTTTTGTTGTTGTTCATTTAATAAACATCTGTGAGCTGTCATTCACTTTGAACCAGAGGCTAGAAGTACAAAGATAAATGTGAAATGACCACTTTCTTCAATTAGCTCTCTTGCAGTTTTCACTTCAATGACTTGGATAAGCCTGGAAAGGTTGTCCCACAGACAAAAGAGAGAAAGGATGATGAGATTAATTTGATGCTGTAGTTTTTCCTGGAAAGACTGGGAAGGACTCTGAATTACAAAAGAAGTTACTCCTTGCTTAAGCGTCTCTTCTGTACTGCCCCCCTGCCCCAAGCTACAGTGATGCATTTTCCAGATGAAACAACCTACTAAGGAAACAGTCCAAGACAATAAAGTTCAACAGAACCTAACTAAAGGAAGACTGAAAGTCAGCTGTGTGCCAGCCACATGTTAAGCACTGTAGGGGATGCCAAAAAAGTAAAGGAAGTGGTCCTTACCCTCAGGTAATATCCACATTAGTTTAGATTGAAGCTGAGTTTGGATGAGGGGGAGCAAAATGTGAGGCAGAAGGGTTATAAACAATTGGCATTGAAAATTGGAGTTAGTGATTTGAGGTTGATTTCAAGCAATTCTGTTCAGTTATAGGTTTTCTGAGTCTTTAATGGGAGAAGAGAGAAATACAGACATTTTGAGAGGTGGAGGAGAAATTTGATGTCTTTCAGGCCGGAGCACTAATTGAAAGCCCTGGGGGCTGGGAATTTCACTCCTGATTTTGCTCTTATTTGCAGGGTGCTTCAAAAAGGTGCTCACCCTTCTCAAGTGCATCATTTTTCTTACCTGGGAAATGAGAACGTTATCCAAAGATGAAATAAAGTGATTGCAAAATAAACTGGCAGTGTAAGATGTATTGCAAATGAATGACAATAACTAAGGCCTGGGTGGAATGGCTCTTCTCTTCTACGGCTCTATTCTGAATCTCAGTTTTGGCTCAAAGCTGGAGACTAGGGGTCCACTTGAGACAGTGGCATGGTCTGTTATTAGAATCTTCCTTTTGGTGCTATTTTGTGATATTTATTAACTAAAAGCAATCTTGGCCCGTTGGACTGCGTGTGGGGTATCTTGCCTGTCATTGGCAGAAGGATGGATAGAGATCAAAGACTTTTCCCCATCACCCTATCTCATCCTGTTTTATTTTCTTTCCAGCTCTTATCACTCTACAGAAGTCTCACATTTATCTCTTTGTTTACATGTTTGTTGACGTTGCTCTCTGCTGTATCCCCAGCTGAACAGTGGAGCAGCCCCTGGCATTTGCTAGGTTCTCAGTATTTTTTGAATGAATAACTCATAAAGTAGTGTCACTGCAGGAGCACTTTTGCTGCAAGGCATGGGTGCTGGGAAGAGGACTGCAGTCAGGCCCTGGTGTGCCCTCTGGGAGTCTGTTGGTGCTGCCAAAAGAGGGCTGATGTGAAGTTATTTGTGCATGTATTTATTGCCTCAGTGATTCTGGTTCCTGGCCCCCTCTGTCTTTCCCATAGAAGGATCACTTCCTTCTCATTTATCTCTGGACACAATTCTGTTATTGCATTTGTATCATAGTTGTCTGTCCCCTCCAGATAGATTTTAATCTCCTTCACAATAGAGATGGTGTTTTTCATATCTTAGGGTCACGATGCACCAAGCACATAGAAATATAGTAATAAATAAGTTGAATGAAAAAAATTAAGTGCCTAGGAAGTACTTTTCTGTATAACCTGGTGGTGGGGAGCTGGGAGGTGATGGTGAAGGGGGTTATAAAATAAGCCATAGGCTTCCTGAGTACCAGGCTCCACGAGGGATGAAAGCCTTCCTTGCTCAGGGGAAGGAGAAAGTCATGGGCCACATGATTAGGTGGTTAGGCCCTCATGAAAGGGATGGAGTGTGACTAGGAACTTCGTGGGTGGGTAGACTTCGTTGGTGGGAGGAAATGGGCAGAGTTTGGAATCTAGAGATTGGATGTGTAGAGGGAGGAAAAGCGCAAGATACAACCAGTCATTAGAATTACACTAATCTGGCTGTAGTAGAGATTCCAGGTGTGGCAATAACTGGAGCTAAGGTTAGGAAGGTGGGTTAGATTCAGGCTGAGGGGACTTTGTGCTGGGCTGAGAAGTCAGAGCTCTACCCTGTAGAAAGTGGGAATCTTTGCTTTATATATAGATTAGGAACTCCTCTTATTCAAGTCAAGCAGATTTGTGTTTTCTTTATACTGCAGTCAACTGGAATCAGAATGCTCTTGCCATGATACTGGTTAAAAAGGAGGTACCAAGTGTCAGGGGAATTAGTCTTGTTGGGAAGACACTTCTTTATTATCCACACATTCTGTCCTGGCCACTCTCTTCATCCTTGGGGAGCTACAGTGATGGGGCCATTGGCTCTAATTATGCCCACCTGTTCCCTCTAGGGGGAAGCATGAGTGGGTGCGAATAGGGAGCCCTGCTTTCCCTGGTCACAAATCTTTTAACCTGCCCCAGTTGGAACAGCTTGCCCTCTTGTCCTGGTGTACAGTCATCTTGCTGGTTCTGGCTTCAGCGCAATCTTGAGGGTTCTCCCTCCCCGCACCCACGTTGGCTCTCCCTAGGCCATGTCTTGTGTACCCTTTCCTGTCTGACTGCCTTCTTTTAGCAGGGCCCATCCTCCTGTAAGTCTTTGGAAATATAATCGCATTTTGCTTTGGAAGACACTGAGAGCAAATAGTTATTTAAAACATACACATTTGGCAGTACAATTCCATTTTTGTTTTTAAAACTTCTTTCTTACACATTCATAGACAAAAGACTGGAAGGTTACATACCAAATGTTAGTAGTAATTCTTTTTCAGTAAGGGATTGTAGATGATCTTAAAACATATTTTCTGCTTATTGTCTAAATTTTCTGCAGTGAATATGTATTGACTCAAAAGAAAAATACTCAAATTATTATTTATTTATTTATTTATTTAAAGATTGGCACCTGGGCTAACAACTGTTGCCAACCTTTCTTTCTTTTTTTTTTTCTGCTTTATCTCCCCAAACCCCCCCTGTACACAGTTGTATATCTTAGTTGCAGGTCCTTCTAGTTGTGGGATTCAAATTATCTTTTAAATAGACAATTCAGTAGCAATTGATAAGAATTATCTGTGTTGTTTTTCTCGAGACACTTCACTGTTGAAGTTAAAATAGATATTTCATGTGCTTGAAATTTGAGTATAAAGTTACAAGGCAATTTTAAACAAACATACTAGAACTTGTTATAAATGGAAATGAGTGTGTCCCCTTTAGAGTTGTCATTTTGGAAGGACTTATACTTAGCTCCAAGGATGCTATTTTCCCAAAATGTTATTTTTCTTTGCAGGTCAGGAATTTCTTTTTTCTTGGTAATTTTTATTTATTTATTTGATTCGGTCATAAAGGTTTGTGGTGTGAAATTAAAAAGGACAAACAACAAGGAGTTTTCTGACTATTTTCTTTTCTGATTATTTCTTTTATAACTTTGTTTTGTGGCTATTAATGATAGTTGTTGTTGTTTGGTTTTTTTTTTGGTGAGGAAGATTGTCCCTGTGCTAAGATCTGTGCCTATCTTCCTCTATTTTCTATGTGGGGCACCACCACAGCACAGCTTGATGAGTGGTGCTAGGTCTGCACCCAGGATCCGAACCTGCGAACCCCAGGCTGCCAAAGCTGAGTGCAAACTTAACCGCTGCTCCCCCAGGCTGGCCCCAGTTGTTTTTTTTTTTTAATCTTCTCGCTGCTTCCCCTTCATTTCCTTAGTCCACCCCCCATCTGTTTTGGTTTCTTTCAGCCCTGGTAGAGCTCAGATGTCTGGTAGGCCAGTTGTTTGCTAACACTTAACAGAGGAAAGCCAACCTTCTAACTGGAAGCTCTGAGCACGTGGAAAGGAGGGCTTGTCAACTCGGAGACTCGTGTAGGAGACTCTGGGCAGGCATTTGTGGGGGAACAGCTTTCTCCAATTCCTCAATTATTTCAGCCTCTCTGCCTTCACTCCCAGGCTAGAGGTTTGCTGTGCTGTCAGATCCTGAGCATTTTGAAGATTTAGTGGTACAAGTTGGGTTGTTTCTCAGTTTGCCCACTGTGGGATGGGGATTCTGTTTTCTTGGATCTGAGGAAGATTGGCCCTGAGCTAACATCTGTTGTCAATCTTCCTCTTTTTGCTTGAAGAAGATTGTCCCTGAGCTAACGTCTGCATCAGTGTTCCTCTAGTTTGTATGTGGGATGCCACCACAGTGTGACTTGATGAGCAGTGCATACGTCCATGCCCAGGATTCGAACCGGCGAACCCCAGGCTGCCAAAACGGAGCATGTGAACTTCACTATGCCACCAAGCCAGCCCCTCAGTTGTTACTTTTTTATCTTTTCAACTTTTCAACTTCTAAAATTTTATTACTGTTGTCCCCTCATTGTTCCCCATTCTAAGGGGTGTTTTGTTTTGGAGTTTTGGGGGGAGGAGAATGTCTTTTAAATTCACAAGGAGGAAGCAAAATTCAGTGTACTTGTTCAATCTGCCATCTTAATCCAGAACTCCCCAAAACATTGTCCGAAACCGCTCATGCCTTTTTTGGTGGAACATAGCCACTTTTCAAGCCCCAGGGGATGTAGTTCTCAGCTCTAAAGCTTTGCCTGTCTTGATCATCAACTTCACTTGCAGACATAGTTCTGAATGACTTTCGACTATTTCTAAAAATCAGATACATCTTCCTAAGTGAAGATTTACCATGTTCAAGATTTTGCAAAAGAATGTGCCATAAGTTGTTGCCGAGGCACTGGGTGAGAAGGAATGGGTCCTGTGGGAAGGTAGGTGAAGAGCATGCCAGGAAAGGGTTATGAAATTCTTGAGTCAGCCTTCTGTATGACCGTTGTTTCAGTGTGTGGCCCTTCCTAGAAGAGCGAGTCTCATTCCCACTGTGACTTGTACCCAGGTGGCGAGAAGCATAAGTGTAGGTCTTGTATGTAGATTGACAATGCCCCAACCCCCGCAGATCTGATACTCTCCCAGAGTAGGGGTGCCCTCAGGTGGTCGTGAACACAGGTGTGAAAGACTAATCCCAGGAAGAAGTTGGTGCTTAGCTGGTGTCATTTTTCCTTTCAGGCTCCTGTGACATTCGATGACATCACAGTGTACTTGCTTCAAGAGGAATGGATGCTGCTGAGTCAGCAACAGAAGGAAATCTGTGGTTCTGACAAGCTGGTGGCGCCACTGGGTATGGGTTCCTGTGCACTTCCTCCAGCCCTGAATCTGGATCAGCATTCCCAACTGTACCCAGACCATGACATACATGAGACTTTTCTGGAATCCCACCATGTTTTCCAGGCATCTTTGTACTGTTCATCTGTTCATCTCATATCTAACTTCACTGCACATGGGTTCACACACCACCCTTTCTCTTCTACCTTAAAGTGGCCAAGAGCAGTGGGGAAATTGGGCATGTCTAGGCTAGACCTCAATGCCTCAGGATACCCCAAGGTGCCAGGTGGAAAGCCCCGCCTGTGGTCTTTGGAGCTGCAAGGTGGATACTGTTTCAGTGCCCATAGGACACTGGAGGTAGTGAGCGGAGGGAGGAGGAGCATCAGATCGGGAGTGCGGAAATCTGGTCTCAGCCCCTCTCCACCACGTGATGCTCCTTTGCCTTAGCCACGCCCTTTAGCCTTTTTAAGCTTTGGTGTCCTTCTTCATAGGGTTGTTGTAGAGGTTTAATGAGATAAAACAGCTTAAAACTCAGTGCCCGTGTAGGTATTTTTCATCTTTTCTATTTTCGTTTGTTTTTTTGTGAGGAAGATTCTCCCAGGGTTAACATCGGCTGCCAATCTTCCCTTTTTTGTATGTGAGCTGCTGTGACAGCATGCCCACTGACAGAGAAGTGGTGTAGGTCTGTGCCTGGGAACCAAACCTGGGCTGCTGCAGCAGAGCGGGCCAAACTTAACCACTAGGCCGCCGGGGTGGGCCCTTTTCTATTTCTGAATGTCCTTTCTCTGCTTCTATGGGTAGACCTCTGTACCATGGACAGAGGTGATTGTGTTTCAACATGTGTGTACTGTTTTCTGATTTCAATTTGGTGACCATCTGCCCTGCCTTTCATTTCTCCTTTCGTCTTGGCCCTCGTCTAAGGGTTATGGGAGCCACGGTCTCAGATCCCTGTGGTTGGAAGGATTGTGGCTGGGTTGGGTCTTCTTTCCCTGCCTACTAAAAACGGTTTGAAACAAACTACTGGTTCTTTTAAACCAGAAGCAGCAGCTTGTGGGCCAGATTTGGCCCACACCTTTTTGTTGTTTTGCTGTCATCACTTTTGTTTGGCTTCCTTGAAATATTTAAATAAGTTGTCAATATTTAACCGCTGGGAGTTTTCACATGCAAATATGATTTCCGGCTTCTCTTGAAAAGTGAGACAGCCTGGCGGGGCTGAGCCCGTGTTCCACATGGCAGCCGCTCCTGGCGTGGCACAGCAGCTGTCCCCACGCACAGGTGTGAGTCCTCCAGGTGCCCCAGCCTCCGCCCCCGGCTGGTTTCTTCAGTTGTATTACTGGTCTGGCCCCTCTCAGTATTTGAGTTTGTGAGTCTGTTCTGAACCAATAGTCTTCATACCTACAAGCCTCACTTGTGCCCCTCATTGCTGTCACTTCGTCTCCCATTCTTTTAGGGGCCTCACAGGTGTCTGAGTTTCTAAATCACGTATTAAACCATTGAGATTCCTACTTGCCTTCCTGACCATTTATCTTACAATGCTGAGAGCATGTCACAGACAGACCCTCCTTAATGTGGTGACCTGGATCCAGGACCTCATAGTGCCTTTCTCTGTTCCTGACTCAGGACCAACTGTTGCCAACCCAGAGCTGTTCTGTAAGTTTGAGCAAGGGCCAGAGCCATGGCTAGGCAATGTCCAGGGCCAGAGGGATCTCCTGAGCTACCAGCCAGGTGAGTGTGGACCCACCCAGGAGGAGGGGCCTTAGCTGGAGAGGGGGCAGGAGGCTGGGCACGAGGACTCCTGTCTCATCCTCTGCTTCTCCCTGTTCTCTACCAGCTGACACACAAACGCTCTTCTCCCGCTGTCACCTGATCTAAAATATACACACCTGTCCCGTCATCATTCTCCAACCTCTCATCTCCCTCTATTTCATTTCTACCCAAGAGTATATGATTGTTTATAATTATGTATTTTGAGTTCCAGGAAGGCATGACTTTGTCTTATTCATTGCTGTGTTCCCAGTGCCAAGAACAATGCCTGGCACGTGGTAGTTGCACGGTAGATAATCATTGAGTGAATGGATGAAAGAATGAGGGAGTGTCTGCTGTGTTCTGGGGATTTATCTTTGCTTTCCTCCTTTGATAAGCCTGGCCTGTTTGGGGACGGGCTTGGCTAGAGCCAGGCCAAATGGCATCTTGTCGTTGTGTAAGATGACTGAGTTAACCCAGCCCCTGCTGTGGAAGAAGCGGTGGGTGGGAACAAGCTCCTGTGTGAATCGCATCATGGAAGTTTGCCCTCCCTGGTGGTCTATCTCAGAGGGACCATGAGGAGCCCTGGACTTCATAGCTACTAATTCATTTTGTTTTGTTTTCCCATGCTGGGCTCTTAATTTTGAGCCTACTGGCTCTTTATTAGCGGCTTTGTGCTCCTGGGGTTGGCTTCAGTTTTGTCGACTGATCTGTTGGCAGGGAGCAGATACTATTGAGTCCTTGGCCGTTGGGCATCTGACCTTATGTCGATGCATAAGAAATGGCTCTAGAGGAGTTAGAGTCGTCTGAGCTGCATTTCAACTACGGAGTGAATAAAGAAACTTCTAGTTTAGCTTGAAGAAGAAAAATCTTAGTTTGTGAGAGTTTTCACCTCTTTGAAGGGCTGTGGTATGAGAGAGGACTTAGGCTTGTGTTTCTCTTGAGGGCTGCAGTGGCACCCCTGGGTGGAAGTTGTGCAAAGATGGATTGCAGCTTAAGGAGAGCTCTCTGGGGACCTGGGAGGTAGGTTACTGTCTTGCCCCAAATGTACATGAAGGAAGTGCAGAGGCCCCAAAGAAGGGGATTCCTGCTGAGTATGGAGTCGCAGTATTTGGCTTTAATTATCTTTTTTAACCCTGTATTCTATTAGTTCAGTGTTCTTATCCATAAATAAGTTCTTATCCATAAATAAATCTGAAAGATTGTGCCGCTATCTTAGGTTGCAGAGGTCAAATTGCAAAGATCTTTTGGCCTACTGTACCTGTCCTTTAAATTTGAAAAAAAGAAAAAAGGTTTGTTTAAAGCTCATTTGATTTTCTTCTGGGTTAGGTGGGGTGGACCTGGGGAGTTGGGGGGACTGAAAGAAGCGAATTCGAGTAGAGGCTGTGTCGTGTGTGTGTGTGGTTGCCAGTTTTCATATTTGATATATCTGAGAGCCTCCACGAGTTGCAATGGCTCTAACTGTAGGATTTCAGACAAGTCCGTTTGTCTCTTTTCTCTAAAGGAAAAAACGAGATGGGCTACATGGAAGAAATGGATGTGCCAGGTCCAGCCAGAGAAGCTGGGCTATACCTGCCACCTCAGAAGAGAGTGTGTCTTTCCCACTTCACTGCAGAGAATGGCAACATCGAGGTCGGCTGTGCCGGAAAGAGCAAGAAACCCTTGAAACCCCGGTCTATCCAGAAGTCATGGTTCGTGCAGTTCCCGTGGTTGGTGGTGAATGAGGAGCAGACGGCTCTCTTCTGCTCTGCTTGCCGAGAATACCCATCTGTGAGGGACAAACGGTCAAGATTAATAGAAGGTTATACAGGGCCGTTCAAGGTGGAGACTCTCAAATACCACGCCAAGAGCAAAGCTCATATGTTCTGCGTCAATGCCTTGGCTGCACGGGACCCCATCTGGGCAGCCCGTTTCCAGAGCATCCGAAATGCATCCGGAGATGTGTTGGCCAGCCCGGAGCACCTCTTCACTGCGGATTATCCCATGTTGTACCCGCCAGGGCCTCTGGGAGCCTACGATAATGTGGCCCAGCTCCTGCCCAACTCAAGAGCTGAACTGGAGGACCCTGGGGGGAATGGAGCAATTCCTGCCTTGTTTCTAGACTGCATTTCCGATTTGAGGCAAAAAGACGTCACTGATGCCATCCACAGCTCTTCAAACTGTCACATTTTGTTTAATGACTCTGCTGAACCCTGCGGCCAGGTAAAATGTTTGTAATGATGGCTGTGTCTCACGGGGAGGGATTCCGTACTGAGAACAACATGTGTTGCATGACGATGATGAGAAAGTCAGAATAGCGGTACTTGCTGCTAGCATTGTAGTGGTCTCAGGCTAACGTGCTTACAATGTAAGAGACATTGTTTTAAGTGCTTTACCTGTATTACCTCATTTAGTTAAGGCAACAGCCCTATTATCATCTCCTTTTTGCAGATAATAAAACATAATTAGTGGAACAGAACGTTCTAACTTCTGGTATAAAGGAAACACCTAAATTCAGAACAATAAGCTTTATCCAGAATGCCAAACAACCATAGGACTCAATAAATAATCAATTTTTAAAAAAAATTCATCTTTATGGAATCATATAGCGCTTTTAAACGCTGCAGAGTTTCTTCACACATGTTCTCTTACGTAATGTTTCTAACGCTGCTCTGAGGCTGGTCGAGCAAGCTGATAGACTCATCTTGTTGAGAGAAAACTGAGGCTGCGGGGGAAGGGACCTGTCCCGCGTGCAAGAACTCTTGTAGCATCGACCTCCCCGCAGAGCCTGTGGCTGCCCGCCGGTGCTCCCCTCCACTCCCTGCAGCACCTGTGGATCCTAAAAGACTCTGGTTCCCACCTTAGGCTGATTTTGTAATTTTTAATTCTTTGGAAAGTTGGCCTGTAAGGAAACTGTGTTGACTGGAATCTTTGAGTGACTGGAAGCTTCTCCACTTCTCACCTATTCCATATAAGTAGGATTTTACTAAAAATCATTTTCAGTACCCACTCCACTATTCCAGTGAGAATAGTCAGATGGTCGTCATACCTAATGTCGTAAGGGCCTAGCTAAAGATCTTAAGTTCAGATTTTTCCTGAATCCAGAAAAGCAACAAAGCTCATTGCTCTTCATGTTCCTGTTCCTTCCTTTTTTAGTGTTAGAAGCTAATAAACAGGTCTAACCTTTTATAATCTGAATTCCTTCAGCAGTAAGTTGTGTGTTAACCTAGTAACTGAACATAAGCATCTTTGGTTCTTTTTACTTCTTCGTCTTCCTTCACATCCCACTCGGAAATCTTAGCAAGTGCTCCTACAGGCAGGTGGTCACCTGTGTAGTCACGATGAGTAGAAGGCACCCGCTTAGGACTGTGAAGGACAGGTGCAGTCATAAGGCTGTACCAAGACTCCTGTTCTTCAGTGCATTTTTTACCGCCTAACTCTGGGCCTCGCAGATTTGCTTCTTGGACTTTGAATGGATAAACTAATTCCTTAGAGTACATCTGGGCCTTTGGCGAGCTTCCCAGGAGAAACGGGCCTTGAGAAGGACCTGAAAGTGTCAGGCCAGGTGTCTGACGTGAGAGGCGTACTGAGTGACTGCTGCTCTTTGTTGCAGGATCCTTCTGAAGAGGGGCTGTTTGAGGAGGTTCCCGTGGTGTTTGAGGAGCTCCCGGTGGTGTTTGAGGATGTGGCGGTGTATTTCAGCCGGGAGGAGTGGGGCATGCTAGACAAGCGGCAGAAGGAGCTGTACAGAGACGTGATGCGGATGAATTATGAGCTGTTGGCGTCCCTGGGTAAAGATTCACCTAGACCTTTGTTCGCCACCATCATTTGACATGGGAAACCCACAGGGCAGCTGTGTCTTGTGGTCGTCTTCCCATTTCTGCCGTGGCCCTATACATAGGCAGAGGATGATGATATCTTTTGCCTTCAGAACTCTCCCTGCTTCGGGATGCTGTCCTCCATGCCCTCTTCATCCACCCACCCACCCACCCCTCTTCCACCAGATATTTACTAAGTACGGCCGTGTGCCGGATGAACACAAGTGAGGCAAGGTCTCTGCTCTCAAGGGGCTGGCAGGTTTGTGGGAGAGACAGGCACTTTAATAAGAAACTGCAAAATAACACGTGCTCCAAAAAAGGTTCAGGAAAAGTGCCCTGGGGCTGCTGAGGAAGAGAAGTTTGATTTTTCTGGGTGTTGGAGGGAGGGATCAGGAAAGTCTTTATGGAGCGTGAAATGTTTTAACTGAGTTGAAAACCAAGTGACCACGGAGGAAGAAGGCCATCTAAGCATCCCAGAGTGAGGGGACAGTGTGAGCAAAGGCGTGGAGGTGAGAGAGGGCCTCCAAGTGGGTCCCACTCTCTACTTGGTCTGTGCTAAGCCTGCTTCCTCCTGCCCAGGGGCCAGCAGGGGTTGGCCGTCTTGGCCTAGGTGTCGCTGGGATTGGGCACTGGAGGTGATGAAGGTAGTAGTCTTTCTTACCTGCCCACACGGGTGTTATCTCCTGCACCTGCCTCTCATTCTTCTCTTTGCCTCCTTTTTCTGTTGGACACCCAAGGTTCTTGTACTGCACCAAAATGGAAAGGCAACTTTTCGTGTTATAAAGTGTCTATTTATTTATTTTTTTACCAGCATATATTCTAACAGAAACCTTGCAGAGCAGGCTGCCGTACATAACTGAGGGATTCCAGCAGCGAGCTGTGTTGTGACTGCAGAATAAGAAGTAGGAATGTTTGTGACTTAATTGATGCCACATCGCCTAGTTTACACTGCCCTTTGTGTGCAGCTAAGATACAGATTATTTTCTAAACATTCTTGACCTGTAGACTTGTTTTTATCCTTGTTCATATTTTTAAATGGCTCCCCAAACATTCAGAAATGATGGAAACAGTTGTTTATTTCGTGGTGCTGAAGATTCTGTACTCATGTCCTAGGCCCAGGGCACCTGTGCAAAGTGAACCTTCCAAGAGCATCACTGCCGCATACGGTGTGTAAAAGCTGTGAGAACGAGGGGGAAATTCATTTTTAAAGAATACATACTCACTTCCTGGGAGCTGGCTTTTCACTTAAAGGAAGGAGCAGTGGCGAAGCACCTTGCCCCTGGGACCCTGTGGGCAGTCGTGGTGAAGCGGTGGGGGACCAGCGCTGACAGTGGCGCATTGCCCGCAGCCCGGGACCAGCTGGATCGCTCAGCCTGTACTTCAGTCCCTCAGGGTTTTGTTTTGACAGAGCATGGTCTAAGCATTTTATCATTTGTTTTTGAACATTCATAAGTTGGGAAGTGGGGAAATCTCAGCTCCCTGGGGGAAACTAAGGGACAGTTCAGTCCTGGTTAAGTTTTGTTTGGATGAACAGAAAGTGTTCAGCGGACGGGTGGTCAGTCTTGCTTGAGGGTTGGGGGCAGGGGTCGGGGAGGCTTTACAGAGGCTGGGACTGTCCTGCTCGGTTGTCTGTGAAATGAAAATGGGCCCAGGAGTCTAGAAACTCAGTTGCATGCGTGTGATTCCTTTTCATTACTTTAGTTAGGTCTCCAGCTACTATCCTTTAACGATCCTCCAGTTTAAACAACTTTTCATGTTTGAGATATAAAAGCATCTTAAGGTGCCTTGAGAATATAACCAGGCCAAACATAAGTGATTCTTATGTTTAAAAATGACCTTTCAAAGCGTGTCCAGCTGGTGGTTGGGAGATGAAACAGTGCTGGAGAATAGTGGAGACTATTATTTTTGCTTTGGCTAGTGTGTTTTTTTTTTTTTTATCTCCCACACTTTATCCTCCTGTGACAAGTACTTTAACAGTTGGAATGAAATATTATTTGGCATCATCTTTTAATTATGTTTTATAAATAGAACACAAATAGAACTTCTACTTGGAGTGAACTCAATTTTTGAAAAGGAAAATGCCAGTCATAATTTTTGCAGCCAGGAAAAATTCTATTAACCTTTTAAAAAAGTCTCCCATCCATTTTTAACATTTCTCATATTTTATCTTGAAATACTGTGATCTACTTATACTGGGTGTTACAAGGAGCTTCTGTTTTTCTTTTATTCTTAAGCCTGGACATAATAATGACAGTGGTTCTTGCTGTTGACTGCACATCCACCCAATACTGGTCCTATGTTGAGCATCTTACATGTATTCTCTCCAATCCTTAAACCAAACCTGTAAGGCAGGTAGTAGTAGTATTTTCGGATGAGAAAGCAGCCCTGAGAATCCAAGCTAATTAGCTGGAAAAAGACTAAACTGAGATCCTTACTGTTCTGTCCATTGTATAGGCATTAGACTCTGATAAAATCCTACTTTGTATATGTTTATTACCAGTTGGACTCCATTTTTTTTTGTTTGAAGATTTGTGCTAATCATGTTGTTGATTTTAAAATAATAATAGCACCAAAGTATAATATAAGATTATTTAAAAATTCAAACAGTATAGGAATAAAAAAAAAATGTCTCCACTTCCATCTCCAGTTCCTCTTGCAAGAGAGTGAAGTAGTTCCGTCTGGCTCTTTGAGACCTTCTCGGTAGGTCACTGTAAGTTCTCTCTCCTGCCCGAGAACTGAGCTGGAGAAAAGGGACTGACGGCCCGGGGGAGATCAGGTTGCGTCACTGGAGCTCAGGTTGAGCGCATCTTGTCCAGTGGCCCTCATGCCACATTGCAGCACATTTGTGCTCTTGATTTCCTTTTGCTCTTATCATTTGAGGAAATCTGGCTGATTCTTCCATTGCTCATCTCAGGGTTTACAGCTGCTAGATTTGCTCTTTTAGATTTTATAATTAATGCACCTGTTTTTAAAAAGACAGTCTCAATTTGTGCAGTCAAATTTAATAGATATTTCTATCAGTTGTTTGGTAGTTAAGTCACATAAACCTAAGCTTTTCAACAGATGGTGTGTTCCCCAGTTAGGTCCAATCACAGCCTCCTTGGCCTCACCTGCTGTGTTATCAATGGGGCTGAACTTGTAGACGACAATCATTTTGACTATGGATTGTGGACTTGCTCATTTAGAACTACTTAATTTCTCACTCTGCAGAGTTTCTGACTGTTCTTTTATTTCTGTACTTTAAATTCTGGCTTCAGACTTTGGCCATATTTGATGACATCTCTTGCTTCCACCCAAAAAGAAAACTGTTACATTCCACTGTTAAGAGACTAGTGTTTGTCATTAATAGAAGCAAACATGCCAATATAAGGACTATGTGGTAACCCTTGTTTTTATTAGTGACTATGTCGTCAAATGCTAAGTGGCAAGTCGCTTACTTCTGGCGGACAGTGTCTCTTCTACAGGTGAGGTCATCAATCACACATACCTGGGGGAAGAAGTCATGCACTGAATGGAAACCAACACTGAGCGGGAGGCCCCCACTGAGATCAGCAGGACTTAGAATGGCTGATTTGATGTCTGGGAGGCCAGCTGCTGTATGATGGGCCCTGTGATCTGGCCTCCGAGTGGAGGCAGTGCAGGAGCTAGAGAAGAACCAAGGCAAGGTGCCGGAGCTGTCCCAGAACCGAATCCTGGGTAGGGCCTGCCAGCTTCGGATAGAGTTAGCCTAGAAGGATCAGAAATCTTTGTAAGCCAAGCCACTTTTATGCACTTTTATGGGACGTGAGTGTTAGTGTGCATGTGCTTGCCATAATTATGTCCCCTTAGCCATTTTTCCATTACTAAGACAGAAAGATCTGTTTGAAAATTCCCTTCTGCTTCACTTGTTTGGAAGAGACAAAAAGAAAAGGTTTTTGGCAACATTTCAGCCATAGCTTCAAAGAGGTGCAATCAGGGTACAGTGCTTCTGGGGCCATTGGTGGTGTCAGGGGCAATCAAAGGTGGCTAGTCCCCAAAGGGAATGTAACTGAGGCAGACAGGTTCAGGATATTCAGTCTCCCGTGTGTTTATTCTTTAAAAATATTTCTTTACAATTATTTTTTTAAATCAAAGTAGTTCTTTTAAGACATAACAAAAAAAATGACAATCCCCTGTCCCACCTTTCTCTGTTACTGAGTCTTCCTCCTCAGAATCTTTTTAGCTGTTTCTTCTAGTGATTTGCCTCATTGCTTCTAAGGAATACATATAGGCTTTATTTTTGAAAGAGTGAATTTTGGTAGGATGTAGCAATGAAACAACTTCATTCGTTTCCGTCACCGCTTGTTTGGATCAGCTCTGTGGGGCCTTTCTCTCTCATCCTTTGGGTTGTCAAAAGAAGATCCAGAGAGCTTTGCTTGATGTGAATATTTTATTGAACAAGAAGCAGACTGTTCACGAACAGGGAGATGTCAAGCCCAAAGTGGTTACAAGCTTGGCTCTCAGCAGTTAAAAGTTCAGTTTATAAAGCATGAATGAGGGAATACATCTTTTTTTTAAATTATTGTGATTGATTACTAGAAACTTACATTCTTTTTAGGGTAGTAGTACCGTGTAAGCTTTCTTGTGTGTAGCTGATTGACTAGGAGTCTCTAAGGTCACACTCACATGAAGAAAGCTTAAGTTTTGTCACGGTCCCCATTTGGGGGAAATCAAGACAGTTTAATATCTGGTTACGTGATTATTAGTGTTTGGTCCAGGGGTATACTCAAACTGTGACCTCTGTTTTGGTTTTATTTGACAGGTTGAAATCTAGGGCATGGCTAGCGTGTTTCTTATCACACTCAGCTAACAGAAAGTCCTCCAGTCATTTTTAGTTACATTAGTGATCTAATTTTGATTAATAAAATATGCGGTACAGTACTCTTCAAAAATGTCCTGAGTCAGGAGGAGGGGTCAGGGAAGATGGCACGATAAGAAGCACCAGGAATCCGTCT